TATATATACGACGTGTGTGACCGATGCTTGTTTGCAATTTGTTTTTTCCTAGAAAGTTATTTTTACAGAAATATGTCTGAGTAGTTTTTGGTGCTAACGTGGTGCACTTCTTATGCATTCCGTACACTTCAGTTCAATTTCAGTTTTTTTACAACTATTAACTATGCACTTTCGTTCACCGGTTTTGATTGCTGTCTTTTGACCGCCCATTTGGATAAAAGAGCAGGATGAAAATCGAAATTGGAAGCAAATTCAAGCAAAAGATATAGCCTTCATATAGACTTGTGTTTAGAGAATTATGAGTAGATGCATGGGCGACACAGTTTGCGACACAAAGCCATATCGCTCAGTGTCTCTAACCATCGGTGGCCATGATCTGGAGGTCCCCATCCAAGGAGCCTAACGGGACCTATGTGTCTCAGTCTCCGTCCGCTATGCTGAATAACCTACCCATTCGTCTTTCGTTGACGTAGTTGTTTCGTCGTTCATGCATACAATGCCCAAAGTCGGGCTACTGCTATGCAAATCTGAATGTCTGCTTTTTAATGTACAGCTTATCGTACGATTTTTTGTTCATATATGAAGGCCTGATTCAACTCATGTGACTTTTTTTTTCCTGAACGCAACCCTATGCTGTTGACAGGTTGGCTTAGCGCTCGATACTCCCGATCGATCTGGCTATATCACGAGCCCTCTTATTGTGGGTTGTCCGTGGGGCCTCTCAATAAGTCCTGCTTGGTGTTACTGAATTTGCGTGCGGTGGGCACAAAACTTGCTGTTCACGCTCCACTTTATTCTGGTACAAACTGTATCTAACTCGAAAATATTGCATACCCCATAGATGATTGAAAAATTCTGTTGAAGTGAATTCTAATAGTTCTACTATGGCTTCCTTCAATACTTTCATTTTGCCCATTCACCTCGTCCAGATTTGCGCAATCAGTTGAATCGTCCAATAACGGAGAGCGGTTTGCTACGTTCGGCCTACGCTCGCCACCTCTCGGTTTATGAGTGTCACATTGGCTGGACCGAAGGGCTCGGTTTGAATCAACGTTGGCATTTGTGCAAGCACCTCTATTCCGATTTCGGACTTAAATCCAGTGCGAACACCAGTACCGCAAAGCAGGCACCGCCGAGATTAGGTATTGCTCTTGCCCCACGCTTTGAACTGGTCCAACCGGGTTTCTCGCCCCGTCTGATTACGCTGTGTCCGGAAGAAACCAAAGTTTCTAGCGAACAATCCATAGCCCACAAGAAAGATCGTGGTAAGGATTTTAGTGCATAATTTTAATCGCTGTGATTATCGTTTTGACCACAATGGACGGACCCACTTAGTTTGCTTGCTGTTACTGGAAATAATATGTGAAATGCTACTTCAAGTGTTTTTGATCAAACTGATAATGCATAAGTAGCGCATGAAAGCTATATTGTATACAGATCAAAAGGGACGTAAACTCTCACTCACAGTTGTTTTAATCTTGTGGAGTCCGCACAAATAAAGAATCAATCCGGATTGCACATGCTGACTGTTTTCGTTCGCTCTACATACGGGGACGTTCATGTCTTACTCGAATCGAATCCTCCACCACTCGATTTCAGTAATAACTATGTGGTCACTCATCATTCTTCCGTCAACCAAAGTGTTATTTTCCTCACTAAAATAGACTGTTTATCTTTTGTTTCAGGTCCTCAAGCCTTTGCTCAGCACATATCTCATTCAAATATGGCCATTTGGCTTCATAACTCTGTGGAAATTCTGTTATCGCCGTTGTTCACGGAATCTTTAGAGAGGTTAGTTCATGTTTTTCAAAGTTTCGAACTCTTCAACTGTTACCCGCTTTTAATGATGATCGATTTCTTTTCGACTTAATCTTGTGTCACTCCCATTTCGTTGAAGTTTTACTACATTGAATGGTCTTAATATGAACATCTCCGCTTTCTCCGACATCGTTTCCAATAAATTCCCCAAATGGTTGCTTCTACGGTCGAACTCGTGTCTATTTCAGCATCCATATTCTATCCATAAGTAAACATGATAAATATACGGATGTTCCGAACTCCTCCGAGCGCTCGGTTCTTTTATGAAACTAACTGCATGCTTAATGCTGATCAGTTTGTAACCATCTCACCCCACCNCTCCCGTTCTGGCCAATACCGCTGCATCCACGGTTATAGACAGTATGCATTCCATGTGCGTGAAGTTACGTGCTAACCAAATTCCGAAGAAAGGTCCTGCAGTGTTCTCTCCACCAGCCAAATCCGCATCGGACGCCCGTCGCAGTGTCACTGGCCACTTCCCTTGTCCGTCTTCACAGCGTCCACCTAGTGTTCTGATCGATCCAACAGCGTTAAAAGCTGTTCCAACACACAAATCGTCCGCTCCGGGTATTTTTTCGAATAGCGGTCAGACGAGTAAGCTTAAAAACTCTTTTTCATCCTTGTTGATCGAATTCTTTCATTCGGCTTACAAAACAGCCTTGAAGTGACAGGGATTATTGTACATGGAATGCCGAGAAAATTTTACTCAAACATTTGACCTAATTGGTTTATTAAAGCCCTCTGGTAATTTACGCATCAAGGACACGTAGACGAGGACATATCAACATTCCTACGGTTATGCGCTGGATTACTCGATTCGTTGTCTTTCCTATAGTTGACAACCTGGGGTTCGGGTGAAGGGGGGATGGTTAGAAAGGTTTTACAATTCAGTTTTTCTCCTGCTCAAATGCAAACGGTCTCAAGACGAGCACTTTGACGATCTACCGGGTTCACTATTTCTGATCAAACCGGTGATTAGGATGAAACACCTCCATGGAGAGCAAACTACCTTCATATTTATGCGTTCAACAGAAAAAAGTAACATAATGCGCATAGCTGGCATAGTTCCATCATTGTAATTCTGTTGTTTGGTAGCATCATTCGCATCGTACAATTGAACAAATCAAAATTTCCGCCTATTTGGGGAATATCGCCGTTGATTCATACACCTTACTTATGTCATTCTTCCTGTAGCTCACCAAATGTAGTACCTCAGAAACAATTCGGTAGGTGATGTCGATTTTGCGACTGTCTGAATGCTTTTTCTTCTGCAGTCCCCAACCTCCATTTCACCTCTAATAATATTGTTTTACCTGTTACCCCATATGCATTCACCATCATTTTCCAGCTCGATCTTTCTCAAAAAAAGTCGCAGTTGATCCCACAACTGAGGTTTCGAAACAGCTTGAGGATAGCACACAACCCTCGTCTTCAAAACCTCGGGAAGACACACATTCCAAACACATGGAGGTGGAGAAACGAAGGAAGTCTGTACCTGAACGGCCGCTGAACGACGGTTGCCTTTCGGCCGTTTGTGGTGGAAAATTCGCTGTGCTTTCTGTTGAACGCATTAATATTTGCTTTGTTCAACTGTATGCAGTGGAGGATCTGGTTCATCTGGATAGTTTACGTTCCGGTCTACAGGATTTAACGTGTGTATCCCTATTGGCGCTTTGCGTGGATTCTGTCTCCTTTGAGGTGAGTTCTACCTACAACTCGTCGTCTTGTTTGTCTCATCTCAGTGGTGCCCAAGTAGGTTTGCTGTTTGCTCCCACCCCAGTCAAGATGAATTGCTTTTCAGTTGAAATGTAAGATAGTATCTAACATTTTGTTTAGGATTCTTATTATTGAGGCAAGCTATCAGGCTTCACATGTTTTCTTTATCATCGAATCGTTTGAATTGGTCATTCGTTATTTCGAAATTGTTACTCACACAGTTTCTCTCTTCAATGGTTTTTTGTAGTTACTATCTTGTCGTCCTCCTGAAACTCCATTACCGATCGAAACCGGACGACTTCAAGAAATCTCAAGTAGTGATGCGCACGACGACGATGATGATGATGCTAGTTCTTATTCTTGTCCGTCGGTGCACAGTCAAGACCCTTTACTGCATTGTCAGTCTCCGGAAGGCGATTCTCAGTTCGACGTAGATGATCCACTCGGCCCGAAAACCCAATCTGATTCACGATTGACCACTAGTCACCCATCACTTCCTGACCCCCAAACCGATTCAAAGAATTTTAATACTTTGAATTCGACACAAGAACATCGGCAACACAGTCGTCAACCTTCTGCTCCACCCGTTTTAACCAACACATGGGCATTAACCGGGGACCACGATTCAGACGTCGAAACTCACGAGGAGGATCCTGATTGGTTTCCGCGGCGCTGTACTCTTGCCAGTCCAGGGGGCCACAACAAAGACGATACGCCAACTCTGTTGGCTTCGGATGTTAGCACCATACTGAATCGTGATTCTGTGGGGTCCACGGTAAAGAAAAAATCTCATCGCCGCACTACCCGTGAGTTTACATATCCAACATGCATTGAGCTGTCCTTGATCGTCTACGGCCCCGTTTCAACACACTGACCTATATGTGGTAGTGCGGTTTAACCGCTTCTCATCCCATTTGTATCCCCGATGCATAAAATCACTTTCATCAATTTTAGACGGTTGCACCATATCTGTATGTGTTGATTTGTATGGTGATAACTTTTGGGCAATAGGATTCACTTAATAAGTTATCGACCAGCTGTTGCACTCTGCTATACTGTGCTGTTTGCACGCGTTCTGATTTCGTGTATCTAAAGACAACCATGTCGGAGGTGAGTACGAATGACTTGACAATCTATTGTACTCAGTTGCCCGATTTTCGTAACTTCATTATGATAATCCATATTCCATTTTTCCCATTAGTTGACCCAACTGACCTAATCAACACTAAAACTCCGAAGTCACTCGAAGAAACGTCACCCAATTTTCCACCGGAACAAACTGGCTCTGAATTGGTTTGTGAGCTGGATGTACGTCGCATTCACGTGCAACTTCGTCGCCTAACTCGCTGCAGTCAATTTAATTCTGATGTCCTGCTGACTGCCATTCCATTCGAATCGTCCCGCACGTTTTTCATGTTCGAGTCCGATCCGTGTATTCCTAGTTGCACATCCCCTAAGGTCACAGGCGGTTCCGGTCTGGGTTCCGCGCCCTCAGTCTGGGATGAGCAGAGCGCCGGATGGATCATGTTTGAATGCGGACTGGAGCGACTGTCACTATCGTGCAATCGTCGGTCCGGGTTCGCAGATTCTGTTCTGGATGTGATCGAACTGCGTCGTGGCGAACGACAGTCGGCAGCAAAAGCTACAGTCCCTCCAGACCACAATCTTCAAGCTGCTTCCAGTTATGTCGGTACCACTAATTCTTTACCAAAAGTTCGAACGAGGAAACAGCATTCTCGTGGAGTTCGTCCTTCTTCCATGGTGAGCACACTCCTGGTTTTCGTTTCATCATTGTTCTCCCCTATCCTTTAGTCTTGATAATGAATTGTTCAGAGGAATTTATATTTTCCTGTTCTTGTCCTCATAGGTGACAGTCGGTTCGCTATT